TGAGCTAGAAATTCTAGGGGTTTCTCATTCTAAATATACATTTCAATATATTTATCATTACAATATTTAAAGAATTTTTTTATAAGAAGATTTGAAGTTATTTAAACATCTTAGCACGAGACTACCTACCCCTGTAGGGCTAGCACGACAGTGTGTGACTAGTGCGAGATACTGCTATTATCGCATAGAGATCCCGCATTTTATGTCGCTCTCGTGCAAGTCGCGCCCTGCCGTGCTAGCTCTCCTGTATTAGCTAAACGGGTCACTACCACGGATTTTTGTAATATTTTTTTATCGAACAAGTCGTGCGCCTGATGGTAAGTTACACGCCTGTCCATAACAGTTGCAGTGCCTCTCAGCTCTTTAAATCGCAAAGATCTGTGGCGCACCGCCACTGCGCCCGACACCCTAAGACGTAAATTGACAAGTCCCATGTGCCTATAATTTCATCCAAGTACGCAGAAGCTGTATAATAAGCTTTAGTATAAAGTTTTTGTTTTACTATAGTTTTAAACCTCCTAAATGGCAAATATTGAATATAAATCGGAGTCTTATTATAGAAGAGTACACAATGCCCCTTAAATGCATTTGAGATTTTATGAAGTCGACTGTCAAGAAAAGGTAGTTTATTTTTATTCCTCGTATTAATGTCATGCCTGTCACTATATTTCATAAATAATAATAATAATAATAATAACGCACACACTCAACATAGCCCCGCACTAGGGAAACCCTGTGTCGCGGGTGCCATGGACACACCCATAGACAACCACAAATTACACCCAAACTCACGAGAGAAATAAATGTAGGCCATACAAATATTTCTCCCGGCCCGGGAATCGAACCCGGGGACCTCTGCGTGGCAGTCCGGTATGATAACCGTTCGGCCACGGAGGCAGTTGAAAAAATAATGTTTTTCTTAACATAAATAACATTTTCATAAATGTACTGTAACGTTAATGTAAGAATGTTAATCTCTTTAAACTTATCTCTCACAGACACTCTGGAGCCCAAATTATAAATTGCCTTCACCGCACGTTTCTGCAGTTCGTAGTATCTTTAAACCTTTCCTGAAAAGTTGGAGTATAAATTTCTTACACAAGGCGATAGAAATCGTGTCATTAGGACACACTCCTTATAAAAGTAAAGAAGGTCAAGTATACTATCCTACCGTTTATACCGGTTTAAAACATTTATTCTCACTAAGAATTAGTTTCTCACTTACGTGAGAACAGAGAGAAACATAACCATTTTTTTTTTCCGAAAGCATACAAGAGAGGGTTATTCAACTACAAAATAATTATGTTTTACCCGCATCCTAATATGACAACAGACAACACGATCTCAGGTGCTAGTAACTATACAAGCACAACCATGGCTGTATTCACAGACTACGCCCACTGCTTACTTATATTAATTTTATATATACAGATAAACTATACAAAACTCCAAACAATAACGTTGTCACTATTAACCGTAGAATCACAATCTAAAGGTGTGTCAATTGGTAACAGAACTCTGATTGATTTAATTAACGTCGCATGTTTCTCCAAAGATTTTTGGCAGAAATTGAAACTGCAGCTTATATATTATGCCATAAGGCTTTTATGGTCTGCTGTCAATACTGTACAAGAAAATACACTTTAGTCTTACTTTCTAGACGCTAATATATGCACCACAATCGCTTGTTGAATCAGTAGAAGCTCATAGTAGTAGCAGTAGAGCTTTTGTGAAAAAGTTCGTCCAGGGAAGTGCTGCCACCCTTATCTATTCCAGCATTACTGGTTCCGGTTTGGTACGGTAAAGGTGCTTGTGAAATTACATGGGACTTGTCAACATTTCCCAGGGTGAAGGGCGCAATGGCAGTACCCCTAGATATTTGCTGTTTAAAGCTCTGAGTGGCACTGTAAGTGTTATGGATAGGCATGTTTTTACCATCAGGCGCACGATTTGTTCGTCCACTTGGTATTATAAAAAAAGAACAATGTCGGAAATCTGAAAAAGCGAGTTTTTCGTTAAATTTCGTTATTAGTTTCAACGATATGTGACAGTGATTATTATTATATGTTTAACCGACTTTCAAAAAGGGGAGGTTCTCAATTCGACTGTTTTTTATATATATATGTTACGCGATAACTCCGGTATTTGTGAACCGATTTTGATGATTCTTTTTTGTTGAGCAGAGGGTGGTACCTCGGTAGTGGTCCCATTAAAATTTGAAGAAAATATTCCACCTCTACGGTTGGCAAAGTAGGGAATGAATCCGATTTTGCACACTTTCCGGTAACCGATTTCGATAAAACTTGGCAAATAGATGTAATTCCACGAATTTTTGAGGTCGGTTTTTTTAGTACTCTGTACTTAGATTATTGTGCTTAAATAGGAGAGTTGTAGAATTTTACGTATACACTCATGCAGTTCGTATTATTTTTATAACTTTCACGTGATAAAACACCTTTGACGTAAGCTCACATGTAGGTACAACATTGGTTTCATTTTTATTCTATCTTTCACAAATTGCCTATATTAACAACGGACTATCACAATTGCAATTGCATTGCCATATTTACAACAATCAACTGTTTGTTTTAAACTTGCCATTAATTATATCAATGAAATTTCAGTACCTTAATGAATATATAGTTTTATTTTTATTGTACTGAGTAATTTGGATATCTTTAAATAGTTTACACATAGGAACTGTGCATTTGTAAACATTGCTTTTATTTTTTTTTAATATATTTATGTATAATCTGTTCGTGTTCCGAACGAACACATTTTGGTGAAAATACGACTAGTAAGTACATACGAAAATGTACTGTTTACAATTCCACGAAGTACACTTAATTCCGCGTATGCGAAGCATGTAAAGGCAAACTTTACGAGCTTGTAAAAAGTATTTTTATGCTTCTTTTAGCCGTAATAATTTTTGTTGCAATTTCCAACAGCCCCCGAAAGTTTAGGGCGTATCAATGGCATATGGCGTTACAATAACTGACAAGCGTAACAACTACGCATCTGTCCCGTTTATTGACAATATGAATCAATTTTTATAAACCGAATCCTAATTGGACGAAATTTATAATGTGGGGTAAATAATTAAGATACAAATAAAGGCTTGGATGAATTAATTTATATTAATTTAAACCAAAATATGAATGCAGTAACAAATATTTGTATATATACGGAACCAAACAAGGAATAGGGATGTGATAAAATTAGACTGTTAAGCATTATTACTTTTATAACGTTATTGAATATCTTGATATTTTTACTATCAAGTTTTTTTTTGTAAAAAATGCTCCATTAGTTTATTGTTATTATTGATAGGAAGATCGAACAAACACAAAGAAAAATTCCTTCGATCCGACTGGCTTCGAACCAGCGACTGTAGCGTAGCTCCCGCTCATTATTAAGCAACATTACGTAGTTCGAAGATCACATGGACTGTAGTGTGAAACTACGGACCTCCTATCATCTTCAACTCTCTCATTATATGTTTTCTAGGAAACATCCTTACTTTTCTTGATTCCTGAAAGGCTTAGTGAAAAAAGCTTTCGTAGTTTTCTCACAGATGGCACTACTTTTATGTTTAATTTTATTTCTTCCAACATAAGTTAGGTATGTCTTTGAAATATACCTTATCTCATAGGGAATTTATCTGCCTTTCTTGTTATATAGAACATATTCCATATAATTATACAGAATAACATTTTTTTGCGACAATATGGAGTTTTTAAATTGTTTTTTTTTTTACCTAGTGTTTTGAAAAGTTTTTTATTGCATAATACGCTCACCATTCCGTATTACTTTTACTCCATAAAAAGGTTTTGTAATACTGTCAAAAAAAATCACTTAGGAACATCGCGTTTTGTAGACAATCATAAAAGCTTCATAGGAGTGAACATTCTTCTACAAGATCAACTACGCTAAAGCAAGTAAAAATTGAATCTTTTCGTATTTTAAAGTTTTTCTATAGATAAAGCTATAGACAAAATCCTCACAACAGTGTTTTGAAAAAAGCTTTAAATTCTTATCGCCATTTTTATTTTTAAAGAATGATTATAAAGTAGCCGAGAATTTTTTTTTTCTTTTTAAAAAGTAAATCTAAGTTGAAATTAGCTTGAAGAAGCCTAGAACTTCTTGGAAATGGTTTGTTTTGTGAGTTATTTTGTATATTTAGGCTTTCTATAAATATTTAAAACCGAAAATCGATAACTGTATTTTTATTAAGTTTACATTTGCACAAAAATATTTAAAATACAGCGAGCACATTAGTTTTATGACAGGTTTTTCATTACTTTTCACTATGTAATTTAAAGTCGCACGTCACTTCGCGCTTTCTAAACGATTAAACATTGCGCGAAAAAGTCAGAAATATATAGTTTATATTTTATAAGCCATTAAACTTGAAATCTATTAGTATTAAGAGAATTGCGTCTTACGTTTATAACGCTTTAGTTACTTTGGTTTTAAAATAACATTACTAAGAAAACTATCATAGACTATAAATTATCTAAAAACTGTCTACTAGACTAAATCCTGTTCCACAAATGGTCTTCTAGCATTCTAGAAGGGTTACTTGAGAAAAATGATAAGAATCACTCTTAACACTACCTACAGATAATTTGTCAAAGCACTCTTGTGATCTACTAATAAAGTTGTGCCCACTTTTACTTTAAATTATCTAGAAATCTTCTTCAAGACATCTTGAGGGAACTTGAACTCTTAAAATGTTCAATCGAATTAAATTCTATTAGATATCTTATTTGTAATATCTATCTTATCTATAATATCTATCTATCTTAGTTGTATAATAATTATTACAAACTAGTGGAGTAATTGCACCAAATTAATTGAATATCATGGTGGTCAAACATCGTGACATTTATTAAACTTAAAAATCGCATATATATTATATATTTTGATACCAGGTAATTAGTGTGGTCTGACACATTTTTACTATTATACTGAAATAGAAGTTTCAACAATTAACTTACCGTCGAAACAGGCGTACTTGATGTAAACCACCCCTGGAGTCCAACTGTTTGCAGGTGGGTAGTCCTTCGCTAATATAAAACTGCAGTGATTTACTCCTGTACATCTGGAACAACAAAAATACATATATATATACACATTACGTTCAATGTATGTTCATAAAGGGTTCATGGCTATTCACTTCATCGTTATGACGAGTGACTGGTTTCTTGCCACTATATGAATTTTGATTAATATAAGAAGAAACAAATTCGTTTGATCTGCTGATTCGTCTTGGTTTTTTAAAATAAATTATAGACACACGCTCGGCCACAATCTCGTTAAGCGACGACGATGGCACTCGCTTGCCTAAAAAATGTCTTGAATAACTCCAAATTATACTTTTCGGGAAACACAGCCGATAGGGTATTCAATTCCTTTGCCATACGCATTAGAGAGGAGGAAGCAAAGAGCTTAGTGTGAATTGGTGGTAGGTATGTCAACGACGTGAGGATGGAGAGTTCTGGACTTCACAGTCGACCGAAAGAGGAACGGTGAGGGTGGAACCAAATTGAAAAGTTCCAGAAAAGAAAAGAAGAAGAAATGTATCCGAAAGAAAATCGACAAGCAGGCTACTTTACCGGCAGGCTACTTTACCGGCAGGCTACTTTACTGCCGCGGTCGAGATTTTGTAGCTTCGACTCCACAAGAGAATTGTTGTCAATAAGTCTCTTTACTTTTAGCTTCACCGAGTCCTTGGACTGCCTTGGCAGTTAACTGGTAATGGTTCATTCCTTAGCTTAGCTGGCAGAGCGTAGACCTGGTATACCGAAGACACAGGAACCCAGCTGGATCGAATGAACAAACTAGTGGAGTAATTAAAAAAAAATTACTTTAATAAAACATTATGTTATTTAATAAACTTCATGTAAGAAGAATAAAATTAAGGGTGTCTTCAAATTTGATGCTTACGAGTAATTTCATCAGCACCCTTGCCCTTTAAAACCAAATACTGATTGGCGGGAAGATTGCAGTACTTCCTTAGACGAACTCTTTCACAAGTAGCTCTACTTCTACTCTCTTCTTTGTTGTCACCCACAAGGACATAGCAATATATATACCAAAAATTATTCAGATTATATTATGTATAATCAATTTTTTTTTTAATTAGATAACGTACCATAAGTTACTCGGATCCCAAAGTAGGTAGCTAAAGAACTTCAACGATGCCAATTTAAAGCTGGCTGGTCGCCAGGGACCCAAATTTTTTGCCACAAAAGGCACAAAGCTGCACTACAAGAGTAAAGCTTTTAAAATTTATATTCTACTTTATTAGAATTTATAGACTTTCATGTACTCCAAACTTCCGGTACTCTATCTATTGATAGGCACTCTACTTTATGGAGCTATAGATAACATCATTTAATTTCCACCTTTCCCCCAACACGTTGAATCAGATAAGAATTAAAATTATCATGTATTATGATGATGAGAGCGATGGGTAAATTTTGATGGTTATTGACCTGAGACTTGATTGCTAAATCATGTTTGATTTGTTGTTTATTGACGTGATATAGACAATGTTATTGTCTTGATACTAACATATTAGATATTTTAAAGTATTCGTTATTTGAATCATCGATGTAGTTCATATGACCAGCAACAACGTTTTAAGACTCGATACAACCTAAAAAGACTGATTGATTCGACATAATAGTGAAAGTGTCGAACTTTGAAAAAATATATAGTAAAAGTAAGGACATACACTGATTATTATACGGTGTGAAAACACGATTCCTAAAAATTTTCACGTTAGAAAAAAAAACACGAACTTACCTCGAAATTTTATAAGAAAACCGCTGTATTCAATATGTACTTTACATATACCAATGAGTTTTTTATATCAACTGAACTAAATAGAACACGTATATATTACTATATATATTTTTCAAATGACTTTGTTTGTAAAAAAAAATTCTGAAATAAAGCCAAAGTCCCTGCCACTGGACCCGAACAATAGTCCCGAGTCAGTACGAGTAAAATTTGAATTGTAATATTTGATGATTCTAAAATTTGAGCTGAGGTAGTATCGACTATTAATTATTTTATTGAGGATAGTACAATAAAACATTTAAGGTAGTTCTCGCGTGTTCGGCGTACCAATGCCTACACGTCTCTCGCAGCGTAGGGTTGTCACATTATTGCTTTAGTTGTACCTACAGGTTCCAAAACATAATTTGAAAATATAAAGGTGTCCGTTAGAGTATTCGTGCTACAGTGAAATATCCTTTGTCAAATGCAGTACTTGCATATTTATATTTTTTTATCGACATCGCGGTTTGGTATCGCGACTATGATGACGAAATACAAAATTGAATGAGAGGCATAAGTAAAGAAAACAATTATAAACTTGATACAGAAAATTATTTTAAATATTTTAAACACCGAACAAACGCTTCAATTCTATAATAAATAGCGGGCTTTACACAGACACTCTATCGCGCGTGATACAGCAATTGTGCGTGATTGAGCACGCGTGTAAAGACGTTTCATGCACGATTGTGCGCGCAGTCTTCCCGCGCGCAATTCTGTACGCTCCTGATCACGCGCGATTGATTTGACTGTGATAATACAGTACGCCATAAAGAGGCGCGTTTCAGTGTGGCAGGGTTTATATAAACTCGTACATTACAAAAATACCCGCGCCCGGTACGCTTCCGCGGCCGCCTCTCTGTGGCCAGAACATAAACAATTCATGGCGCGTGTGATGACCCGCGCTATGCAATGTGAGTTCACCGCGAGATTATGCGAATGTGTGCATCCATATATGGCGCGCGGCGGGCGTGCACACATACGAGACGCGGTGCTACGTTTGTATGTAGTTACCATACTTGTATCTAACATACAACTAACTTACATTAATACGCTGAAATCAAATCTGAAATTTGGTTATCGATATCTCTTTCCAGCAAAACATTCGTTTCCTAGAAAAGCATGACCATTTCTTTCGAATGCCTGCATCTGCATGCATTGTTATTCAATTAAATTGTATTCCGCTTCGCATTGGACCATCAATTTGTATCAATTTTTGTAGCATTTCCTTTTCGTTACTTTTTAAATCTCAGTTTAATTTTAAGGCTTTTATTCTAGAAAACATGCTGAGACATGAGCGGTTTAATTTTAATAAAAACATCAGTAGCCAAGAAATGCTGGACATCTTTTTCGTTATTTAATAAGTACCTTATTACGTACCTACGGATGAAACTAAACTTTGAAATCAGAATGGGTAAATTGTATTCCGTGAATCATTAACCACAAAGCTGACACGAATATTAATGAAGTTAACTGCAAATTAAAGTCTTGCGTACCACAGAGTACAGTGTTTTGAAAATAAAATAAAAGGTTTACGGCTACTACAACACTTTAACCGAATGAAGTGAAAATGACCAGCGATTTCCATCTAAATGATGGATCGTGAGCAAGCACAATAACATGTGCTTTCATTTCCGAAGCTAATGGTGGAATGCAGGTTAAACTACGATTAAGGGGCAATTTTGTCTCTATTGGATGTTAAATGGATAAACTGTACGTACAATGCAAAACAGCTTTAAAAAAAACGTGTGCAGTTTTATATTATTTCCTTTATGGCGGCCGCTAGACTTGTGCCAGTGTTAGTTTTTTAAGTATAATATATAATAAAAATTATGGCGATCATCGCTAGTGTCAGTTGAGCTTTTTTCTTTTTTCTGTATTTTATTCTTAGACTATATTTTTATCCGTCCTTTAAGATTTTATTAGCGCATGAAAATGACGTTCTTGTTTTTTAAATTCTTCTCATTAAGGAAAAGGCAAAAGTTAAAAGCCACACAGCAAAGACTTGCCGAGTATTTCATTTGCCAGGCATTAAGCCTCGTCTTCCGTGAATCACCATGAATTCTCTTTGATGGTTCTGCATTGTGAATATTGGCATACTAAGCATAAGCAATTTAACCGCTACGTTTTATACTAGGTTTGAAATTAAAGAAATTGTTGCAGATTTGACTTAGAATTTATTCCAATGCCATAAAAACAATATTAAAAATACAGGGTTTGACATTCATTTTCTTTTCGCTTTTTGGCAGCTCAAAAAAAATGGAAAAAATAAAGATTGGCAATAGAGTGTCACAGTCAAATTGGAACAATTACTATAATTATCTACTTACATACAAATTAATCTTCTTTCCTGATCTTTTCTTCCAAAATTGTACATCTTTTCTATCCCAGAACTCCTTTTTTCCCATTTTACTGTAGCAAAAATATTAAAAATAATAACTTTGGCACGGAAAAATTTTAGAAGAACGCGAATTAGACGAAAAAAAAAATTCGAATTCGGTCCATAGACCATTGCCATTCCGCAAGGAAGTTAACTCTATAGTTCCAAATGTGAACTGACCATGAACTGACTACCAAGCTGAAAACTTGATTCTGGCGAAATCATAAGAAGACTACCGCCAATAAACTTATGAAGAAGAAACATATAGTGAGTTTTACATTATACGCACCTACTTGTAAAACCAAACGACTAAATATACTTGTATTTTTATCCTCTAAGAAATATACTAACATACATTGGGATTGTAACAAAACGCTTGAAAAATGTCAAAAAAGAAATGTCAAGAAAGAAGAAAAACCAATAAATGTTTGGAATACATCCGAAACGTGATTCCTTTAAAATTTATAGGTATGATTTGGTACGTCTAACACATAGAACTATAAAAGTAGCTAACGTGTTGTACGACAAACAAATTTTGTAGACTTTAAAAGATTGATTGTTTTTGGAAATATGAGTAATATCTACTACAAAAGACATTTTATTCATCCCAATTATTTCCTTTACATTCTATACATTGTGTGTCTCTTCGCTGTGCTAAACCACTTTGAAGTGAACTTCAATTTACATCATAAAGAAGACCTTTACTATTATATAGTACCACCTTATTTACTAGATAAGAAAACTTATATGGCAATAGATACAATTGAAAAATATCCTATAATTTGGTGGTGTAGAAGAAATTACGATCAATATAATATATACGAACGCACTATTCAGTGTGGTAATGTAAAATGCTTGATTCGACGGTATTCTGA